GGGGCGGGTGGGAGGAGGTCCTGCAGAGCCTACGCCATTGTGAGCTGGGAGTCCCAGGAGGACCCTTGGAGGAGGAACAGGACATGGTCGTCTCAGGGCCCCTCCTCTGGCTATGAGGAGCGGCGCTGCACTAACCCAGGAGAGCAGTGAGGGACACAGAGGGAGGCAGAGGGGGCATCTGAGGGGTCAGACTCATGGTCTGGGGCCCTGGGGTTAGAACACCTAATTCACTGTCCCTAAAAGAAAATGTGTCAATGCCAAGTGTGTTTCCCTGATTTCTAAAAGCAAATTGTATTTCATCTGTTTTTCACTTTAAAGCACCATAGAGAATTTGCTAAGTGCTGCTGGGCTTGGGGCCTGTAGTGTCACAAGTGGATGACTGACAGGCTGAGGGATACAAAGGACCAGTCCAGGGTTTCACAGCAAATTGGACACCAGAATAGGATCCAACACCAGTTAGGAGGCTTTCTGATTCTCCCCCAAAGCTCCATGAGTGATGCTATAATCCACCCCCCTATTTCCAGATGGGGAAACTAAGACCCAGAGATCCACATCCCACAGCAAGTCAGAGATAAAGCTGGAACCCAGGCCTCCAGACCCAGTGCCCAGTCCTGTCTTCCTGCTCCACCTTGACATACCCTGTCTCCTGCCTTTGCCCAGGTAGTTTCTTCTGCTTGGAATACCCCTTCCCCTCATCAGGTCCTGCTGAGGGGTGGCCCCGTTCCCTCTGCAGGTTCTAGGGGCCCCAGCATCTCCTCCTCACTGCTTGACTGCTGCTCTGGCGGGCCAGGGCCCAGTTTTGGCCTCCACTGCCACCTGCCCTGGCTGTGCAGCACAGGACTCAGGTCTCAGCTCCCACACCTGCTGGGGTTAATTCAACTCACCCAGAATAGGACAGCAGAGACCAGCAGGCTATTTTTGGACTACCCGGTCAGTAGTCACCAAAGGATCTGCCTGCCTGCCCACCCTGGCCACTTAATTACCCCAAACTCATCAAGGGCCTACCACATATCAGGTAGGGTTTCAGGCACTGGATGTATAAAGAAAACGGAGCAAATGCTCCCTCATGGAAGGAAACAGAAAATAAGCAAAGTTATAGACAATATAGGATTCAATGGGGCTAAGCTGGAGACTACTACAGCAGAGAAGGGGTGAAGGGCAGGGCTGCCATTTTAAAGAAGGTACACAGGAAAGGCCTCCCTTGAGCAAAGACCCAAAGGGGTAAGGAATGCAAAAGGAGATGTGGGGGATGAAGAGTCCAGGTACCAAGAACAGCATGTGCAAAGGCCCTGAGGTACAATGTTCCAGAAGCAATGAGGAGGCAGCAGGGCTGGCTGGAGTGAGTGGGGAGAGTGGTAGTAAGCCACACTGGAGGCTCTGGGGCCGAATCACGTGGGGCCTCGCAAGCCCTGAGGAGATCTCGGCTTTTAGGCCATTGCTATCTCTACAGAGAGGGAAGTGGTGGGGCCTCAAGCCATAGAAAGCTTGCGAATTCCTCTGTTCATCCGCCTACCCATTCCCTCAATCAATATTCCTGAAGTGGCCACTTGGGCCGTGGATGGAACAGATCCCAAATGGCCTGGGGTTGTGCCCCCAACCCTTGTTCATCAGCTCCTGGTGGTCACATGGGTTCCATCACCACTGCATCTTGGTGCCCAGGGAAGACGCTCAGGAGATACTGTCCTACAAACAACTGCTGTTCTCTCTCTGCCAGACATTATGGGGGTTTGAGGCTGACTTGTGGGCTACTGGTCTGCCTAGCACTCCAGCCTTCCCACAGCCTGGGCCCAAGCCTTGGAGGAGACAGCAGATGGCAACAGCTGCAGCTCACACCTGTGAAGCCTTGGCATTGGCCAGGCCCATGTCAGCTCTCTCCACACACTAATCCTCATGAAAATCTTACAAAATGGGTAGGATTCTCAGATCCCTGTTTACAGATGGGAAAATTGAGGCTCTGAGAGGCAGTCACACACCTCTCGGTGTATGGAGCTGGCTGGAGACAGGCTAAGCTCAATTAGGAGGCTCTTCTGGATGAAAGAGAAACAGAGGGACATTGGAGCTGCCAGGGTGGACATACGCTACGCGTGAGGGAAAAAATGCATTAATGATGCCCCCCTTCCAAGGCCTCTACTGGCCAGATCACACCACCCTGGCTAGGGAGGAACCAGGCCCTCAGTGGGCAATTCTAGAGCACCTGGCCTGTGGCCTGGTACCTTGGTCGTAAAGGCCTGCAAAGGCCACCCAGTCCCAACCACTCACACCCAACATCACCTAAACGCCCTTCCCCCTCCCCTAAACCTGCCTGGAAAGCCCCAGAAAATGGCCACCCCCTGTGGCTCAGGTCAAGATCCTGGGGACCTCCTTGCCTTGTCTTTCTCTTATGATCCTGAGACAGGTCCATGGGTATAACCTTCAAAACATGCTTAGCATTTGGCCAGTGCTGCTCACATCTCCGTGGGCACCTCTGCATCAACCCATGGAAGCCGAGTCAGATCCCATCTGTCCTCTGCTCAGGGCCCTAGTCCAGCCACACTGGCCTCCTCACTGCTCCTCACGTACACTCAGTTCTCAACCCCCAGCTTTTGTCATGTTGCTCCCTCTGCCTGGCATCCTTCCCCCTAGGGCCTCCTAAGGTTGGCTCCTCCTTATTTTCAAGGTGAACCCAATGTCACCTCTCCAGAGGCCTCCCTGACCATCAACAGAAGGGAAGGGCAGGGCTATGTAATCAACCTTGCACCCCTGGGCACCACGTCATCTGTCAGTGTCGGCAGCTTGGCTCATGGATAGCACTATCTCTGCTCACAGTGTTGTAGGACGAGCCCCAGGGCAGGGTCTGGCTGGGCCCAGGACATTCTCAGGGCTGGGTTCTGTGAGCCATCAAGACTCTGACTAGCAAAGGGGACCAGTACTTGACACTCCTGGGGGCCATAGGAACAAGTCCAAGGTAGGGCAGAGCCCTGGGTTCTAGTCCCAGCTCTGCCAGGTGACTCAAAACCAGTCTCGACACCTTGTGCCCAAGATCTCACCTGTCCTGGGACAATTGCTACTTCTCCCCTGGGCCTGAGAATCACATTGAGATCACAGACTGAAGTAGTTTTGAGAAAAGTTGAAGCTACTCAGGGACTGAGAGACCCTACCATTGGGACTCTACCTCAGTACCCTCTGCTGGCTTCAACCCCAGGACCAAGGGCCCCAAGAAGGTATCAGAAGGTGGTCACTGAGAAATCGCCTTCCCTGGCAGGTGGGAAGAGGAGCAGAGTTCTGGGTGGGAGATGTGGGGTCTGTGCAGAGGGCAACGACAGCCACCATCTCCACTCTGCCAGCAACAGCTGAGAGGTAGGCCTGAAGGTCAAAACACCCATTGTACAGATGAGGGGCAGGGGCCTTCTGTTCCCTCTGGGAGCTGAGGAAGCTGACCAGGGACAAGTGGGTGCAGGAGCAGGGAGCAGGCCCCAGAAGCACCCAGACAGCATTGCAGGCGTCTCCACACACAGAGCCTGGTTTGGGGAGGGGCCACAAGTTTGTGGCTCAGAGGTAGGTTAGGCAGAGGGGGCTGCCACGTGGGAAAGCTCAAGAGGACCAGCCAACATAGCCAGGAAGCATGTGAGGGCGGACCCTGGGGGTTACCCAGGAAAGTCCACTCACAGACCCAACTGGTACCCTTGCCACAGCAGGCATCCCTCCTGGGGACACAGTTCTAGGTGGAACGGTATGGGGCATGGGAACTTCTTGGGGCTCATGCAGGAGCATGGGCTCATGCAGGAGCCTCATATCCAGGGATCTGAATGCCACAAGACCCGAGGCTGCACTTTCCGCCCTGCTGCCTCTGGGGGTGCTGAGGGAGCCAGAGGCAGCGGCTGGCTCTCTGGTACCTCAGAGGGTTGGAGAGGATGTGGAACGCAATAGGATTCTAGGACCCACAAATGAACCTTCTTTTTTAAAAAAATTTTTTCCAAAATAGAGATTTATTTATTAAGAATTATTTAGTTTCTGCATAAAAATCCCCAATTGTTCCTCACTGTATTTTTAACACACATCAGTTGTTTGGGGGTACCTCTATTCACCTTAATACCTTCAAAAATACAACTCGTTAGTGCCAGAAAGGACAGTTAAGGTAGTGAGGTATTTCCTTGAGTCTCAGCATCGGGAGGCTCGTGGTCTCCCCTTGGAGAGAATGTACATGTAGGTAGTTTCTTAAATTGGAAAAGCTGTCCCTGAAGAAAATAAAAAAAAAGCTGTCCCAGAAGACTGGCAATTTGGTCATCTCTGGTCAATTATTTGTGCCTGATAGTTTTAACACAAAGTCCCCATGGTCACGGGCATCAAAGGCTTGCTGGTTATTTTCTGCTATAAAACAACTGTCTGGGCTCCAGCCGGGTGGTTCAGTTGGAGTATCGTCCTGTACACCAAAAGGTTGCAGGTTCAATTCATGGTCAGGGTGCATACGGGAGGCAGTCAATTGATGTCTCTCTCTCACACTGATGTTTTTTTCTCTCTCCCTTTCACTTTCTCTAAAACCAATAAAAATATATCCTCAGGTGAGGATTAAAAAGAAAAAAGAACTACCCTGGCTCCCTTCCAGGTCAGGGCACATACCTGGGCTGTGGGCTCATTTCCAGGTAGCAGATGTGCAGGAGACAGCCAATAGAAGTTCCGCTCTCATGTTGATGTTCTCTCCCTCTCCCTTCTTCTCTCACTAAAAATCAATAAAAATATATATTTTTAAAAACTGTCTGGAAAAAGACAGTCAGAAAAAAAGAGTAGGGTATCTAGAATGACAGTGATATGAGGTTGGGCTGTGCAATCACATGAGGGCACACTCAGTTTGTTTTAAAAAAAGAATCCTACAATAGGGGTCCTGTATAATTTCAAATCAAACTCCTCATGGTCCTTAAAATACCCAAAACATAATTAGAAGGACACATCCTCATTTTTAAAGTGAGGTGAATGACATGGCTCTCCCAGAGTCATGCTGTGTGTGTGGGGGGGGGAAAACCCAAGGACTTGATTTATTGGCAGCGTTTCTTTTTTTGTTTTGTTTTTTAAAAATATATCTTTATTGATTTCAGAGAGAGGAAGGGAGAG